AAGAGCACACACGTCCAATCCCATATTCAGGCAAAACGTGTAATGGCTTTCCGCATCAGACCGACTCGGCGATGAAATTCCCGTCTGCCAAACGCATGAGAATTTCATGAAGCTCGAGGAAAATTTTTATCTGCTTTTGTTCGGCTAATTCCCGGTGATAAATGCTGCATCATTTCGCTCTGCAGGTGCTGCCGGAATTATTATTATTGCGCACCGGTCCAGCTCTCGCACTCTCGGACCGCGGATTAAATGTTTAATATGCGCATGGATTTAAGAAGAAACGGCCGCTTGCTCGCTCGCTAGCCCTGGATAATTTATCGCCATTAATATGCATTGTTATTTTCAGGCTTTGTTAATGCGGAAGGGAAATTTCGCGGCTGATAAAGTGACTGTTCATGAATCAAGACTGATGCTGTTGCAAAACTGATTTTCAAAGTGGAAATAAAGTAAGTAAAATTTGGCATTCTAATTTTAAAGAAAATTTGTAATAAAATAAAAATATTATTTTTATTTGTCCTTATAAATTTATATTAAGAAAATGTTGCTAAATTTAACATTGAATTATAATTCAAAAAATTCTATTACAATAATTTAAACGTCATGTCGCTAAAAATTTAATTAACCCATAATATTTATCAATATCCTTCATTCTGCCTATTTATTTCAAGATTTTGACCTAGATTTTTAACAAATTTCAACAAAATTGTTCAAACACTGTGCAAAAAATAAATAACAATATTTAATGTCTTCAAACAAAATTTAGAATTATTTTAGGGTATTTTTAAAATTTCTTCAAGTAAAAATACATCAATTTCTTGATTAAATAGCTGATTTATTTTTTCTCAAATAAATCAAACAATTTAAGTAACTCTTTCGTTTTAAATTAAGGAGATTCAATTTTTAATAGAATGTAATTTTTTGGCCCAAACCGTCAGATACAGCAGAAATTTCAGAGCTCAGCCTCTCTAATTAGCGTCATACCGGCTTCAGAGAGACAAGATTCGTTGGCGCAAAAAGGGCATCAGCGGAAGATTGCGCGCGCGGGGCCGAAAAACGTCGGCTGTCAGAATCGTTTTTGCCAGCACCCGTTGTGTGTGTGTGAGAGAGAGAAAGAGCGGCAGGCCCGATTAAAAATGCAAAAACAAATACGGACAGGGGCCATTCTTATTTCGCTCGGCAATTATAAATACCCACACACATCTCTGATACAAAACAACAAACAGCAGCGCGGCGGTAGCAATAGTAATTTTTCTCGACCGGTCCGCCGCCGCCGCCGCGAATGGAATAAATAATGAAAGGGTAAAATATAATGTTTTTGTGTGCGAGTCGGAGAGAGAGAACGAAATTGTGAGTTTTGTGCTGCTAAATAATGCATACATAATTTCCAGTGAGAAATTCATTCCGGCCTCTCTTCTTCATTTGGATCAGCGGGTCGCCGTAATTATTTCAAATTTTCATCCACATAGCTAATGAAGTTATTGTTTTTACAAAGAAAATTTTTTAAATAAATAGGACATATTAATTAACAGACTAAGAAATTTAAAACGGTTTTTGGAAAAGATTAGTCTGCTTTGTAAGTTTTTTTCAAGATTATAAAAAAAAATACAAACGAGAACAACTTGCCACATTTTAAAATTATATTTCTTAATATTTTTTATCAACAAGTTTCCATTTGGGCGCGGGGGGGGGGGGGACAAAAAATAATTTCAAATATAAAATAAGCATAACAGCTGAAAACTGAATGAGTGAGTTACTTTAAATATCTGTAATAAATTCAATCAAACCTTCAATAATTGTTCAGAAATAATTGAACTACTTGTATGTTAAGACAAAATAACTGACAAGATCAGTATTGCACATATCTGAAAGTAATTTAAAAGAATTGAAAAAAAGTATAATTTTGAATTTGTAGGGAATTATTTTAGGGGTAGTTGAGGACTCCGAGATCAGCCGACGAATTTTGCTCTCTCGCCCTCTGATATGCTCGGGACGCTGAACGACAATCATTCGGATGCAAATGAAACGCGTGCCATCCATTAAGCATTAAGCAGGGGGCGTGGCGAATTAATAATAATTTTTAATGATTAATACTCGCGGGACGCTTCCTCTCGAATGCTAATGCCCTCCCTGTTTCTTTGGCTGCTCCTCGGAGTGAGCGAAAGGGATTAGCCAATAACAATAGTACACAGTTTTCTCTCGGTTTGCCTGGCGATGATTTATGCTGCTGCAAAAAGCGCTGCAGCTTCCCGTTCCCAATCTGCCGCTTTTCTCATCGCTCCGTGGATTTTGGCATCGATTTTTGCTCCTTTCAGCCACCAAAGAAAGGGTGCTCAAAATTTAGAGAAAATTCTCAATCGACTTTGCAAGTTTGTTTGTTTTAAAAAATTATGTAAAAATTAATCTATAATAATTTAAAATGGAAATTCAGTACAATCTACACAAAGAATATGATTTTTAATTTTAATTTTGAATACTTAACAGCCTCCTTCTTGAGAATGTATTGACATGCATACTTATGAAGTACTTATGTTTTTTGTTCAAATAAATGATAATTGTTTGGATTTTTTTAAATGAAATTGAAAAATGAGAAAAACCTGTCTTCAGGTAGATATTTAAATATTATTTTAATAAATAAAAATATATGATTTAACTGAAAAGAAAATTTATTTGTAGAAAATAAATTTTGCGAATACTACAAACAAAAGCATTTTGATTTTTTTTTTTAAATATTTACCGCAAAGAAATAAAAAATGGAAAGCCTTCTAAAAATAATTTAATAAATAAATTTTTCAAAAAGAAAAAGACCACATTATATAACATTAATTTTTTTCATTTTATCAAACTAAAGTTTTCGCTATCAAAGCAAAAACTTAAGGATTAAATATTTTTTATCTTCACGAAAAAGAAAAATAATTTAATGAATGTAAAAATATCAAAATAAAAGCAATGGTAGCATATTTTTTTTATACATTTTTTAGAAAAACTTTTATAAACATGAAAATACATCGAAGAAAATATGAGGAAAATTCACTGAGCCGTGCAAGTTTTCATCGATTTTGGTGGGACAAAGAATGGAAATTTCTGGCGCCGGCGGTTTCCCTTGGCAGCCGCTGAGCGTGGTGAAAATTTGAAACTTTCTGATGCATTGAATGGGAATGCGTCACATAAGAGACGTCTTACTTTGCATATGAAAAGTGACAAATGTCTATAAATATGCGAAAGGGGTGCGAACGAAAGACAGGGGAGCAACTTTGCTCGCCGCCGAGATTGGGCAATATTTCGTGTTTGCTTTTTGCCGCCGCCGCCGGAGAGGGTCTTTTCTCTTTCTCCTGACGTTCGTTTCGATTGCCGGCAATAAAAATTGATGAGTTCCTCTTTTCGCCGCTTTTTCGCGTTATAAACAGCCAATAAAAGAGATGCCGGCGCATCCATCATCGCGTCCCTTTCCCTTTTCACGCCGTTGCGTCGTTGAATGCGAAAGAAAAGTGAAATTCTTCGTTTGCTCCTAAAAATACTTCAAATCGTAGGTTTAATTCAAAAGGCAAGTAATAATGTTTTGTTTATGACTTGAACTTACAATAAGCTGGCATCAAAATCAACTGCCTAAATTGTGAAGCATTAATTTTTATCATTTCTATTTTTATTTATTTTTAGGAAGGAATAGATTATAACTAAATTATTATGAAAATTACGAATTTCCAATAAAATTTTTTTTAGCTAAATTAAATCGTGTTGTTAAATTTTGTTTCAAATTTAATACCAAAAAATTTGAACGTTAAATTTTGCAATTTTTTAAATAAAAATTTAATTTGTCTAATTTTTACACTGTAGATTCAAGTCTCATGTTTTAATTACAACTGAATTGACATAATTATCCCAAGTTTAATTACAGTTTATTTCACTGCATGCAGAACCGTTTTCTCTTTTTTTAAATTAAAATTTTTAGCCGTTATAAAACACATTCGATATTGTGAGAGTATTATCATTTTTCTGGCAGAGTGAATTGATGTGTAATTAAGTTTGAAATTTAGGCAATTAAATTTATTGTTAGATCCCAATTTTTTGTTGCCCCTACAATATTAGGAATGCACTTATAATTTAACTTACAAAAGTAAATAGCTATAATTTGTTTTACAATAAATATTTGTTACAAACTACTATTTATGAAAAAAATTTATAAGGACTTCATCCTTGTTGAAAAAAATCGAGGGTAAATGACCTCAAAGAGCGATTTGCATCCTGCTTTGATTAATAAACCTTTCTTTTTTTCCATGCTTTATAATACTAGGGAGGGGACTTTATTAAAAAAAAAAAAAAAAATTGAAAAATGACAAATTATTAATTAATTTGTGGTGTAATTTATCTCCAATAAATTATGTTATTGTTTTCACGACTTAAAAATGAAGTCTTAATCTGAGCATTAATCAGGCAGTTTATTTATAAAAAGATCAAATGAAAAATAAATTGCAGGTCTTGTCAAAACAAAAACTATAAAAAAAAGAAAAAAGAAATTTTTAGTTTTTGCATAAAAATAATTTATTTTAAAATCCAATCTTTTCCTGAAAAACAAATTTTCAAGATTCAAATTTAATTTTTTTTTTTTAATTTTGCTAAATAATTTTTTTTTAATTCTTCCACTTTTTCATATTTCTTGCTAGCCATAATTTTACTATCATATTAACCGGCACCAACAAGACATTGATTGATATGGACAGGAGATGAAGTTCAGTGTCTATGAATTCTCTAGCGTGATTTACTCCATAAGACTGCAGAGGAAATTTGCATCATCCCCTAAATGATTACATAAATGCAGCTATTTGGCCTGCAATGTGACGACTGACGAGAATATCAATGCTCGTTGTGAAAATTAACCCCATTCATAGAAATTTTGACTGAAATGCATTCCGTAATGCATCGTACAAAACTATCAAGGACCAAACTGAGATTTGAAAACAAATTTGAAGAAATTCCAACTAGTAAAATGCACAATTCCTATGTACCTGATGCGTTTTCCCTCCTTCGAACGCGTTGGCCAGCAGGGCGACGTTCGCGACCAAAATGCTGCACTCCTTGGCGTTCCACACGAACAAAAGGTCCCGTTTTGAGTCGGCCACATTCCGCGTCTTGCTGTTGGACCCGTTGCTGGACCACTTGGCCTGAATCAGGCCCGAGAAACGGTCCTGAAGCTTCTGAAACTGACCCCAACCACCGGCACCAGCCATTCTCGTGATTGTTTACAACCGCACGCCAGCATCGATCGCCCGCGACTCGGCAGCTGACCCACTCGCGCCAAACCGGCGCCAAGTTTGAAAGTTTGCTGCCACGTGCTCCTGACGCGCTCCAACTCGAAACAGGAGAAGTTGAAAAAAAATGTTTCCACCCGGTTTTACTGCAGGTAAATAATTTTATTCAACTAAATACTTGCATTTAATATATTTGAAAAATTTAAAACATATTTTTATTTTTTAACCAAATTTAAAACAATTAAAATTATTTTTTTTTTTTTTTAATTTAAATATTAGTGTAAATTATCCTTTTTCTGCAGCAGAAATGCATTTTATATTACACAAACATTTTAAAAAGTGTTGCAAAATAAATATATGTTGAGGGATTCTTAAACATACAAAAATTAATCAATACATCATAAATACTTGTTCAATAACTTGTAACCTGTAGATTTATCGCGATATTAAGGTGCTCTATAAAAATTTTATTAAACCTTCCAAATCAACCACATTGCTTCGTCGAAATGAGAAACATTTTTATTTAAAGTAGAGAAGGATTACTATTATTTTTTATTTATATTTACGTAATTTTAATTATGTCATGTATGGGACGCGGCTACTCATAACTAGAAACCAATTAAACTAATTAGTTTAATTATGTTAGTTTTTTTCAAATGATGCAAGTTTTAAATACTTTTATTCATTTTTGTATTATTTGTTGTGCGTAATTTTTAAAATAACATTGATTACATCCAAAATTGAAAAAAAAAAAAAAAAAATACGACACCACGAAAACACGACACCGGCTGGCTATACATAATGACAGAAGGTGCCCGATGGAAACTTTTCAATCATGCCCCTAACTGTTAACAACGTGAGAGAGTTCAAGTTATTATTATTATTATTTTAAATTTCTTTACATTTTTTCTTCATTTTTCAAACAATTAATATTCCTCCTTAACCCCTAAAGTGCGCCTCTGAGCAAAAAGTCGGCTCAAGTCGAGCACAAAAGGGGAGGACACCCTTTTGAAAGAAAAGAGTTACGCTATTTCTTTGCGCGCCGTCATCACTTGGCTGCTGCTTGCGGAATATAAATCGTGTTTAATTACTTTGACTTTATTCTTGAGCGGAGATTTATAGTTGTCTCATAGTCTTAATGGGCGAACAATGTACTTTGCAATAACGCGAGCGCAAGACGCGACGATAATGTGCCCTCCGGAGAAAGAGTAGACGGAGACGGCATAAAATAAATCCTCGATTTTCGTCGCATTGTACTTTCCGGTCGCATTTTTTTTTCACCATTTCGAACAATTTTAACATTATTTTTCTGGCGAAGAGCCTCGGGTTAATTTCAACCACTTGAGCAAGCAGCCTGGCAATTAATTATTTCACACTGCATGTAGTAATGAAATTAATTGGGAGGAGCTGCGCGTCTTGCAGCCTTAATAAATAAGAGAAAACCGTCTGGCTGTCAGATTGAAAAATAATGTACAACTGTGTGATTTTTTCATTTCTACACCAAAAATATATTATTGGTTTGTTGGAATTTTATTTATTCAAAATTTTCTGTATCTAAAACTATGGAACCTTTAAAGACTATTAAAGATTTTAAGCAATTTTCTTTTAAAATCAAATTTAGTATTTAATGGATTTAATTTATGACGAGAAAACTTTGCTCATTTGAAAGTCACCAAGAAATTATTTTATATCTAGAAAGACAAGAAGAACATTATTCATTATTAAACTCCAATATAATTCTAAAATACGTTTTGGGGTTGAAAACTCTTCATTAAATACTGAAATGCACACCCAATATCTCAAGATTAAGATCCCTGCGATCTACTTGAATTCCAACCCTCTCGCTCCCCTGCTCGTCTTCTTTTTCTCTGGAATAAAACTTGGTGCACTTAAAAGTCGCCCTCTCTTCTTTTTACTTTTTCACTTCCTCGGCAGGCGTGCTGACAAACTTAATTGATGTTATTAAAAGAGTTAAGGTGCCGGTGAAGGGGTGTTTTCTTTGCCGGGGATCAAATATCGCCGCCTCCGTCGCGATGTCTGCGTTTTGGCAACATGGTGGTCGAATCATCCCCATTATCTTAATCCGCACCCTTTGAGCAAACACGCCGCGGTGAAACTGACGCTGGTGTTTTAACGAGAACCGAAGAGGAAGAGGAAAGAGGTGCTGCTACAATATGCAAATGCGCCAATATTGACTGACAAAAAGTCTTCAGAGTGCTTTTCTTCCATGCACTCATTAGCTGATCAATATTAATCATTCCTTAATTAATTTTCAGCAAGAGCTTTTAATCCGATGTTTATTATTTTAAAAATCTTATTATTTGAATAATATTTTATGTTTAAAAAAAAAAAATGATGAATGATTTTTCTTCTTATTATAAATTATATGGACTCACTCAGATAATTAATTTTTTCCCACGACAATATGTTAAAAATCAAAGCTAGAATTTTATTGCATGGAAATTACTATTTAGATATTTTATTGTTATTATTGAAATTTTTGCTCTAGATTTTACAAAAATTGTTGAAATTGAAAGAATATAAAATATTGTAGGGAGGAAAAACTTGAATTTTTGACTAACACTAGTAAAGATCCAATTCTTTTGAAATTTATTAATATTAAAGTAATAATATATCAATTTTTTAATAGACTTCTTTTATTGCAGCCGAAGTCATGAAAAAAAGAACGGAAAATAATAGGCATATTATATATTTGGACAGCACCGGTTAGTTTCTATTCAAGCCACACTTATAAGTAACCAGAAAAGTCGCAGTGTGCTCTCTCTTTGAAGAATTTTATTAAAGCCCGTGTTTTACGACCCTCATAGAAGCAGTAAGAGGACGAGAGAGAACACGATTAATTTTAATAAATTTCACGCCCACGTGCGCGGCAAACGGCAGCATTTTTAATTAATGCCGCTTATTTATGTCCTCTCATTACAGAAATTTATTAGAAAAATTCAAGGCGAGAGAAAGGGTTGAATTGAATGGGCAATAATTTCCCGCAGGCCGCTTTGTTAAATTAAAAAACACGCCGGGGGCGAGCGCGTTAGTTTCTCATAGGAAGTGCTTGGCGGCGATGGAGAGAGAGAGAGAGGTGAACGCTCAATTTCAGGGAAAGGGTTGCCGGAAAGGAAAAGCGTTTTTCCTAGTCATTTATAAATAAAAAAAGAGAGTTGCCTCTCCTCCGAATAGAATTAAAATAATTTTCGCGAAATGATTAAACACGCTCACGCGCTTCCTTTTCCACCACTGCAGGGAGGGAGAAAACGTTATAGTTGTTCCTGCTTTGCCGCCGCCGACGGACCGACCAGCCGCCTCGAATTTGCATTTTTGAATTATATAAAAGGATGCCGTCGCAAATGCTCTCCGAGGTTTCCGTTTCAACGTAATGAGTTGAGAATTTCTATTTCCTCCAGAGCGCATCAATAATTCAAGCGTGCTTAATGACTATTGTGCACTTTTGTCTTGTGCTGTGCGCGTGAGTCTATTGTTTATATCAAATTATATTTTGTGTGCACGCGTGCCTTTGTTAGAAAATGTGGCCGCAGCGTCGCCCAGTTCTTCCAACAACGCAGCTAGGGATTTTGCTAAATAATATGCCTTCTTTTGACTTAATTGTTGGCAGAATTGATTAAAAATTACTAAAATTAGATAAAATAGTAAGTAATTTTTACTTTTTTGTATGATAAGATAACCAAATATAAATAATTGTATTCCAATTAATGCTTAATATTTTGTAATTTGTTCAATACATTGATATGAACTATTGCAAACCGTTGCAAACCTTTTAAAATTTGATTTTTTTATAAATAGCATGCATGACGATGAAAATATAGATTGCATTGGCAATTATCAATCAGCACAGAACATGTTCATTGTAGTCAAGGAAAGAAAGGTTCCTAATAACCAGAAAAACTTCTTATTGCCAGTCTAAATTTTACTAATAATGTTCTGAGATTCCCAAGGTTTTTCCCTGCCGCTACCGCTACCCATTGAACTAGGTCAAAAAATTACCTTTGAGAAAGGGCGTATTGAAATTAATAAATTATACAAGAATATAAGAAAATGCCTTTTGTTTAACTCAATTTTTAACTTTTGCCGCATTTACACAACAAGCAGATTGCCCTCAGGGTGATTTTTCTTCCCCGCCAATTAAACTGCTGACGAATTCCATTGAATTTAGAACAAAAGGCAAAAGAAATGGCTTCAAGCTGATTCCGGTGTATGCCGCTGATGCCGCACATAATTGGAATCAAGGCAAGCTACCGACAATGAAATTAATGCGAACCCGATTTAATAATGGCCAGGAGAATTATTACGGGCGCTTAACGGGTCGGGTTTAGCGCGTACGATTTTTGAGTGCCTGCTATTGTTCTTTTGTTGGCAGCTTAGGGAAAAATAACACTGAAAATCAAACCGTTTCATTAATAATTCAGAAAAAAAATGAATGCATGCGGAAGCAATTTTCTGCTCCATATTAATGAAGAGAAAAAGAGGCCCTGCAGGCGTAGAGTCAACCTGCACCATTTTGCATTTTGTTTTAAAATATAAATCATAACATCCGCAATAAAATTCGAAAAAAATTGCTGATTTTCAAAATAATTTCACTTTTACATTGACGTTGCTTTAGAAATGTTTAGTGGAACAGAAAAATTGATGGTGAATCCAAGAAAGCCAGAAAAATTTCTCGAAGAAGCGGAGCATAAAGTTTGCTGCCGAGCCAAAAACTTCTTATTTGGCAGAGCGAAAAAGTTGCGAGAGGGAGAGAGTTTGCTGGAAATTTCATTGTGATGTCACTTTTTGATAGGCGAAGATTTGCATGAAATCTGTAAATACCGAGCGGAAGGATATTTCTTCTCGCTCCGTACCATGCAGGATGCTCTCTTTGAAAGACAGTCTCGAAAAGAAGAGCCGGCTGCTGTTGGCGAATAAGAAAAATGAGAGACAGAGACGAGCGAGCCGGGATATTATTTTATTGTGCATATATCTTCCCGTTCTTC